AAAAAAAAAAAAAAAAAAAAAAAAAAAAAGAATACCAAAGACAAACAGATCTTAAAGGTATCCAGAAAGAAGAAAAGTCAGGTCACCTATAAAAGAATAATAATTATCAATAGATTGAAAGTAGACTTCACAACAGCAGTAATGAAATCCAGAAGAGAGTTGAATAATATCTTCAAAGTATCTTGAAAAACTAACTATTAACGTAGAATTGTGTACATAAAAAATTATATTTTAATAAAAACATTTTCAGATGAAGAAAAACTGATATTTAAAAAACAACACACTTTCACTAAAGCAACTTCTAAAGACATTCTTTAAGAAGAAGATACCTAATGTCAGAATCATCTGGATGCAAGAAACAATGGTGAACAAATAACATGGTAACTATTTTGGTAAATCTGAAAAATATTGTCTGTATAAAAAAAGTTTATAAAAATATCAAAATTGTGAGATTAAAAAAAAGAGCAGAATGTAAACTGGGAGAGGTAATGAGAGTTAAAATGGTATGAGGTCTTCAACTGAAGAGAGAATTAAGATAGTGTTGAATTCTAGAAATGTAAAAGTGTTCACCAAAAGAATAGAAATGGAGTTCATAAATTTCTATACATGGAGAAAATGCAATAATTTTTTAAAAGAATGGATAATTCCATTCAAAAAGGTGATTACAGAGAAAAAGGCAACATAGAAAAAAATAGACAACTAAAAACTAAAAAGCAAATGGTAAGAGCAAACTCAAATATATAAATGATCAAAATAAATATAATGTTACTAGTTAAAAGAGAGTTTGGGACTAGATAAAGAAATAAAATCCAGCTCCATGCTATTTATAAGAGATGAACCTAAAATACAAGGATCCAGGAAAGATAAAGTTTTTTTTAAAAAAAGGAAAAAAGATACATTAAGCCAATGTTAGCCAGGAGAGAGCTGAGATGGATATATTAATATCAGAGAAAATTAATTTTTAGACAAAAACCACACTATTAGAATATAATTTACATTACGAAGAAATACTGTAAAGTACCTAGGATAAACCTAACCAAAGATGTGTAAGGTTTTTATGGAGAAAAATGATCAAACCTTATTGAAATCCATTAGAGAAGACTCCAATTAGAAGAAAGAAATACCATGAACATGGTTAGGAAGGCTTAATATCATCATGGTATGAATTCTCTCCAAATAGATTCATATGGTCAGAGAAATTCCAGGGTTTTACTTGAACTTGACAAGTTGATTCCAAGGTTTACTTGGAAAACCAAGGGGCTAAGATAGTCAAAGTACCTTGTAAGAAAAAGAAGCAAAAGGTGAGGGACTTGCTCTACCACGTGTGACTTACTGTAAAGTCATGGATTGCATTGTAATGGCTTAGGTAAAGAAAATGACAGATGCAACTTAAGAGAGATACTACTTGATCTATGACAGAGGTGGTCTTGCAAATAACTGGGGAAAGTGAAGATTGTGTAATAAATGGTGCTGGGACAATTGCTTATCCATATGGAAAATGAATACATTGAATAAATAATTAAATTGATCCCATCCTCACATCATATACTAAAGACTTAAGAAAGACAGAATTTTGCATCTTTTTTAAAAAAATAGCTCATTTTCTAGAGAAGTTTTAGGTTCACAGCAAAACTGAGAGGAAGGTGCAGAGATTTGCCATATATCTCCTGCCCCAACTCATGTATAGCCTCCCCTATTATCAACCTCTTTCCCCAGAGTGGTACATTCGTTAGAATTGATGACCCTACATTGACACATAATTATCACCCAAAGTCCACGATCTACATTAGGGTTCCCTCTTGGTGTTTTACATTCTGTGGATTTGGACAAATGTGTAATGACATATATCCACCATTATAGTACCATACCAAGTAGTTTCACTGCTACAAAAATCCTCTGTGCCGCATCTAAAGACGAGTTGGCTATATCTATGCGCGGCCGCTTCTGGTCTCTATTCTATTCCATTGTTTCATTTGTCTATTCCTTTCCTAATACCACATTGTCTTGATTACTGTAGCTTTACAGTCTTTAAGCCTTTTTCTAAAAATAATTTTTATTCGGGTATAGTTGATTTACTTTACAGTAAGTCTTGAAGTCAGGTAGTGTCAGTCCTCCAACTTGTTCTTCTTCAATATTCTGTTGGCTATTCTGGGGTTTTTTGTTTGTTTTGTTTTCTTTGTTTTGTGTCTCCATATAAACTTTAGAATCAGTTTGTTGATATCCACAAAATAACTTGATGGGATTTTGATTGGGATTGCCCTGAATCTACAGATCAAGTTGGGAAGAACTGACAATATTGAGTTTTCCTACCCATGAACATGAAATAGCTCTCCCTTTTTTTACTTCTTCTTTAATATCTTTCATCAGAGTTTTGAAGTTTTTCTTGTACAGACTTTATACATATTTTGTTAGATTTATACCTAAGTATTTAATTTGGGAGGGGTCAAATGTAAATGGCATTGTGTTTTTAATTTCAAATTCCATTTGTTCATTGTTGGTATACAGGAAAGCAATTGACTGTGTCCTGCAGCATTGCTATAGTTGCTTATTAGTTCCAGAAGTTTTTTTGTCAGTTCTTTGAGTTTTTCTACATAGATGATCATGTCATAGGTGAACAAAAAAAGTTTATTTCTTCTCAGTAGGTATCCCTTTTGTTTCCTTTTCTAGTCTTAACCATTAGCTAGGACTTTCCATATTGTGTTGAAAAACAGTGGGGAGAGGGAACACATTTGCCTTGTTCTTGACTTTAGTGGAAAACTTCAAGCTTCTCACCATTAAGTGTGATGTGAGCTTTAAGTCTTTTGTAGATATTCTTTTTTTTTTTTTTTGCAGTATACGGCCTCTCACTGTTGTGGCCTCTCCCGTTGCGGAGCACAGGCTCCGGACGCGCAGGCTCAGCGGCCATGGCTCACGGGCCCAGCCGCTCCACGGCATGTGGGATCTTCCCAGACCAGGGCACGAACCCGTGTCCCCTGCATCGGCAGGCGGACTCTCAACCACTGTGCCACCAGGGAAGCCCTTGTAGATATTCTTTATCAAGTTGAAGAAGATCTCCTCTATGCTTAGTTTACTGAGACTTTTTATCATGAATGAGCATTTGTATCTTTCAAAAGTTGTTGGAGACATCTTAATGCCCGTAATTAAATAAGACACAAAATCCATAAACAAGAAAGAAAAGACTGATAAATTCAACTAGATGAAAATAAATAACTTCTGTTCATCAGAAGACTCTATACAGTGAAAAAGCAAGCATAATCTGAGAAGAAGATATTCACAGCATAAAACCTACAAAGCCTTAGCATCCGTAATATTTAAAGAGCTTAGGCTACTCAACATGAAAAAGACAAACGACTCAATTAAAAAAAAAAAAAAAGCCCAGGGCAAAAGATACAAACAGGCCTTCACAGAAATTGAAACCCAAGTGGATGATAAACATCTAAAGAGGAGCTCCACCTCACTAATAAGTAAGGAAATGAAATATTAAAGCCTTGAGACAGGGTTTTACACCTATTTGATTGGTAAAAAACAACATTGTAGACTATATGGTTCAACGGCAACTTTAACACACCACTCATGGGAGTGTCAAGTTAAGCATTTTGTAAAAGAACTGCTGTTATCTTGTAAAGTCAAACATTAGCCCTCCCCAAACCCAGCAATTCCACTCTTGGAGAATCTTTTGCACATGTACACCAGGAGACACGTTCAAGGATGTTCAGAGCAGCCCTTTCTGTGACAGTGAATGACCCACAGACAGTGAAATCCTCACAGACAGAAGGGCTAATAAATTGGAGCAGATTCAAACCATAGTGGAAACAACTTAGAGAGGCAGCCCTCACTCCATAATGTCAGAAGACATGGATTTTATGATTACACTTTTCATTTTTATTTTTGTAATAAAGTTCTTTGTCTCCATATTAAAAGCTGTAGGTATCCCTTACAGAGAATTAGGGAAATACGGGAAAAGTACATGGCAGGCAGGCTTCTGAGATGTCTCCAATAATCCCCACCTCTGGTGTTCATGCCCTTGTGTAACTCCCTCCCCTTGAGTGTAGGAAGTCTCCCCAGAGACTTCCTTTCAACCAACGGAAAATGGCAAAAGTGATGGGCTGTTACAAAAGACCTCTTTCCCCACCTCTTTTTCTTTCTCTCTCCTCTCTCTCTCTCTCTCTCTCTCTCTCTCTCACCTTCGCTCACCTTGATGAAGCCAGCTGCCATGCTGTGAGCTATGGAGAGGCCCACATGGCAGGGAACTGGGAGAGGCTTCCTGCCAGCCACGTGAAGGAAACTGAGGCCCTCAGTCCACAAGCCCACGAGGAGCACAATTCTGCAAGAGCCACGTGACTGAGCTTGGATGCAGGGCTGCCCTGGTCATGCCTCAACGTGACTTTAGCCCCGCTGACACCTTGATTGCAGCCTTTGAGCCCCCAGGGCAGAGGGCCCAACTAAGCCACACTGGATCCTGACCCACAGAAACTGTGAGATCATAAATGCTATTGTTTTGAGCCAGCACGTTTTGGGGCAACTTGTTACATGGTGATAGATAACCAATACAGGATCAGTCCTTGACAAAGACACCTTTCCACTTCTGCTAAACTCTAACAGCAGGTGTCCCTGTGTGCTCCCTGGTGCAGGCACTGGCTTTCCTACCTGCTCCCAACTGCTCCCAGCACAATAGTGGCCGGGTAGCAGGATGGCTGGGTCGTCTTCCCTGGGAGGCACTGACTGTCTGGGTCGGGGAGACAGCCAGGGTCAATGTGGACGAAGTATACAAACTATGCCTGCCACCACATCGAATAGCCCCGGGGCCAGCCTGTCTACACCAGCTGGCTACGGCACGTGCCTGTGGATGTGGTGTCTGCAGCCGGCTGGGGCTCTTTGTGATCAGACACTTGCCTGCAGACTAGCAGGGACACAGGGGCTCAGCTGCCCATGGGAAACCTCTCCCAGGCCAGCCCGGGAACAGCAGGCAGTCTCAAAGGGCTGGAGAGTGGCGATGGGCTTGGGCCACTTCTGATAGGCTGTGTGACCTTGGCCTAGGCACTGACCCTCTCTGGTCTCAGTTTCTTTCTCTGTAAAATGGGAATAATGTTTACTATGATGATGCTTTCTACAATGTTGTGCAGACTGAAGGGCCCATGTGTGGTGCTCGGCCCTCTTCAGTAGCTAGGTAATAATATCAGAAATGAAGGGATATCATGGTAACAGTAATAATAAGGAATGCATGGCCCTTGCTGGAGGACAGTTCACGTCCAAGGGATGGTACAGCAGAACCAGTGCCCCTCTGCTCAAGTGCCTCAGTTGACCCTACACATCCCTGGCCAAACCAAAACTTAAGAAAGGCCCTGGTTTCTCTGCCAAAGCCCGGAGGCTCCTTCTCTGCTCCATGCGCAGCTGTTTGCCTTTAGGCTCAAAGCCGGGGTGGAAAGCCAGGCGTCCCCAGCCGCCCAGGTGCTGTGGCAGGAGGATGGGGATGGGAGAGGGACACGCCATGTGTCTGTTACAACAGGAGAATGAGCAAGCGGCTCAAAGAACAAGAGGGAGACAGAGACTTGGAGACAGAGACAGTGGGGGATAAAGCAGGACGCAGGACCTGCCTGTGGGGCGGTTCCCCTTGGCTCGCTCCGCCTGGCATGGCTTCCTCTCCAGAACCGAGAGAAGGGCGTGGACAGATGGGTCTGCCACCTGCTGGGGCTCTACAGCCATCCCATCCTCTCTGCCAGATGGGAAGCCAAGGCTCAGAGAGGTGAGACCCTGCTGGGAAGTGGCACCACTGGGATTTGATTTAGGATGTTTTCCAGACCCTCTCAGGTCCTAAACAAGGGACTTTCATAAACACACAAGGGTTTCTACTGTGTTGGGGGCTGGGGGACCCGTGTGTGCTATTATAAGATAACCCAGAGCTGAATCTTCTAGTCACTTCCAATAGCCTCCATAGAGGCAGCACCAAGAACTTGAGCCCCAGACAAATGACATCATTCCTTCAGCTCCTGCATCTAACATTTCCTTACAACGACCACCAGATGGGCAGCAGCGTCCGCAACACTCTCACGTTCAACAACACATGCAATCCTTATGGAAAAGGGGGACCAGTCTGCCAGACTCTCGGCATGCATTGTATAATTTAATCCTCACTGCAACTCAGCAGGGTGGGTGTTAATTTCCCCATTTTACAGATGAGTAAACTGAGGCTCAGAGACACTAACAATCTTGCCCTGCTCCCCACTGTCACACTGAGTGGTTTCCTGTTGAGAAGGAGGCGCCAGAGGAAAAGGAGTACCCCAGTGATTGCAGCTCCAGAATGCCCACGGTCCTCCGTGGTTGCCACCTCCTGGAACTCACCCCCCCACCCCTTCTGGATCTCTCAAGCCCTCTGGAAGCTCTACCAGCCAGGCAGCAGTGCCTAGCAAGGCCAGACCCACAGCACTGGGAGGCAGTGTGTGCTGGGGAAGCAGGGGGAGTTTGGGGGTCAGACAGCCCTGGGTTCAAATCTCCTGGCTTGGACACCTTTAATTTGGGCGACCTTGGGTAGGTGTTTTCACCTCTTGAGGCCTCAGTTTACTCCTCTCTAAAATGGGCATGCCGATAGTGTTTACCTTGCAGAATTTCTGTGAGGATTAGAAACCAGGAACAGAAGGGCCTGGCACGTGGTAGCTGGAGTAAAGATCCCTCCCTGACTCCAGCTGCAAGCATCACAGAAAGCCCTCGACAGGTTTCAATATTCATCTCAGGTCAGCGGAATTTTGTTTGAATATAATCAGTATATTTCCCACTGCAGACAAAGTACTTTCCAAACTCAGAATGAAAATCATAAGCAGAGCTTGTCAGAGCAGCTCTGGAAAGGCACCCATAGCCTGTGGTCTGTTCCTCTACAACCTTGTCTTTCTAAGCCCTGGGACCTCTGAGCCCAGCTGCAGGGACACAGCTTGAGCAAAGGTACGGAAGCTTGTGCTGGGAGGGGGTCAAGGAAGCAGTGCTGGGGAGGGGGGGTTGCCAAGCCCATCTGTGTTTTTGGAAGGGAATTCAGGCCGAGTGAGGGTGGTGGCTGCATAGGACATGGGTGCTGGCAGGGAGCTGCTGTGAAGGGCAGGCAAGAAGTGACAGGAAGGGCTGGTCCAGGGATGGAGCGGGAGAGAGGAGGGTCCCAGAGCCAGGCTGCCTGAGTTTCAATCCTGGCTCCCTTACTAACTAGCTGTGTGGCTTCAGTGGGTTACTCAACTTCTCAGAGCCTCAGCTTTCCCTTCTGCAAAATGGGAATTACAGCACTGCCTACCCCATAAGGGGGCTGAATGAGTTGTGTGTACCAAGTGTGATGTGAATATCAGCCATTGTTGTGTGAGAAACCACACATCACAAGGGCGCTTGAATACAGGGCTCAATGCCTCACTAATGGAAGGGCTGTCTCCTGGGAGTCGGGTGGCCTCAGATGACCGTCAGCCTCTTCTTCCTCTACTCCTCACCCTCTCAGTCTCTGCTGTTCTCCTACTGCTGGCTGGGGGCTGGAAGCGAGCGACACTTCCAAGGAAATGTGCCAGACACTCCTGTGGGCACCATTCTAGGACCACAGATGCTCAGCCTGGAGCATCTGTGGAGCATCAGATGGAGGAAGCCAGGGGCTGCCACTACTATTACTGACAACAGCAATGACCCCAACCATGCCCACCAAGAGCGTTCCTAGACCATCTTGTTTAACCAGAGCCTGGCACAGGGCTTGGACATAATAGGTATTCTATCGGTATTTGTTGAATGAATGAATTAATGGATGAACGAATGAACAACTACCAGGGGTAGGCCCAGCACTGTGCTAAGTACTTAACAAACATTTTTATGTTTTTCACATTTAATCCCTACAAGCACCCTACCAAGTGGGTATAATCCCCATTTCACAGATGAGGAAACTGAGGCTCAGTTGCCCAAGGCAGCCCAGCTAGCCAATAGCAGGGCCTGGTCTCCTCCTCGGCCTCTCTATGCCACAGCCTGTCTCATCACACCCACGCTATTACCCACCCACGGAGGGAGGCTTGGCTGAGAGGTGTAGGGCAACAAACTGCAGGGGGATCCAGGTCTGGGCTATGAAATCCAGGGTCCAGCCTTGCTTCCAGGGCACACTTGCTGTGTGACCTTAGGTAAGTCACAGACCCTCTCTGAGCTCCCATTGCCTCAATGGTGAAAGGATATGGTCCTGTTTGCCCTATAATAATGCATTTGTGTTGGGCTTCCCTGGTGGCGCAGTGGTTGAGAATCTGCCTGCCAATGCAGGGGACATGGGTTTGAGCCCTGGTCTGGGAGGATCCCACATGCCGCGGAGCATCTAGGCCCGTGAGCCACAACCACTGAGCCTGCGCGTCTGGAGCCTGTGCTCTGCCACAAGAGAGGCCGCAATAGTGAGAGGCCGGTGCACAGTGATGACGAGTGGCCCCTGCTTGCCACAACTGGAGAAAGCCCTTGCACAGAAATGAAGACCCAACACAGCAAAAATAAATTAATTAATAAACTCCTACCCCCAACATCGTCTTTAAAAAAAAATAAAAATAAAAATAATGTATTTGTGGTGAGGCCCTGGGGAAGACCCACTTGTTCATGGCAATGAACTCACTGCCTTGAGTCCACGCACATCCCAGGGCCACTCAGGTGTTACCTCTCTAGCTTCTCCCCTGCCGGTGGCTGCAGAGGCTGGAGCCTGAAGCTTGAGGCAAACACACGTCTTGTGTCAGCAGAGCCTGTTCATCCAGCATCACCAGACCTGCCCCCCAACCCCAGAATGTACCCTGCTCACCCATAGACATCCAGCTGAGTCTCGGTGCCCAGCACACACACAGCATAGGTGGGCTGCTCTGGGGCCACATGGATCACTGTACCCTGGGCCATCATCTGGCCAGCTCGTCCCTCTGGCTGTAGAAAGCCCCAGGGCTGGTTCGTTCACAGCGCCCAGTGCCCAGTGGAGGCCATGAGTCAGCACCTGTGGTTTGTGGCCTAGCCCCTCCCCACTCAGGTCCCTGGCATGGTCTTCTCAGCCCCTCCTCTGCCCTGGAGCTTCCCCCTCAGACCAGGACCCTGTTTGGTGTTGATGCCAGAATCAGTGGCAGCCTGGATCGTTAGTTTCCTGGGAAGAGCGGAGGGATCAGGAAGCCTGGGGGTAGGGGTGCAATTCTGAGGCCTCATGCCCACTGCCCCATCCCTGCCTGGGACCATGAACTCCTGGATTCATCCAACCTTGCTTCACTGTGCCAAACAGGGTATCAGAGAGGAGAAGGCAAGAAAAGTGGGGAGGCTGGGAGATTTTAGGCACAAGGTCACAGTCTGGGCTACACATTCAAAGACTGATCTGGCTCAGGCCAGGTCTCCCCAGGCTGGGTCACCCACGTAACATCCCACACTTCTGTATTTTCTGTGTGCCGGGCACCTTTCTCTGGCCGTCTTGTGGAATAACTCACTAAGGCAAGCCTGTGAGGTAGGTACTATTATAATTCCCTCAATTCATTCTCTCAGCATCTCTCTGAGGTCAGTACAATTATTATCCCCAATTTCCAGAAGAAGAAACTGAGGCACAGAGAGGTTACACAGCTAGAAAGCAGTAGAGCCAGGATTTGAACCAAAGGCATCCTGCTCTTGGGGGTATGAGATGTACCAGCTGCCTGTCCACGTGACATGAGCTTTTCAGGCTTTAACACATCTACTTCTTACGGCAGTACAAGGTCTGTATGGGCTTGTTATTACTACCCATTTAACAGGAGGGAAAACAGAGGCACAGAGAAGAAAGGTGATGGGCCCAAGGCACCATAGCTAGTATGTGGCAGAGCTTGAAGCCAGAGTTCCCTGCACACATGGGAACGCTCACTCAGCCACAGAGCCATGGGTGTGGGCCACTGGTGCTAGGCTCTTCCTGCTAGTCAGGTGATGGGTGAGGGGTTGGAGGGACAAGTCTCAGAGGGAACACCCAGAGGAGGCGCGCACAGGGATCTGGAGTGAACAGCATGTGTCTTGGGGGTTGGAGATTGCATGTGTGTTTTTTGTTTTCTCTGGCTTTGAAACAAGGCATTTGCCTCGTTAATTAAGAGCCAGGCTGTGGGATTAGACAGGTCTGAGTTCCAATCCTGCTTCATACCAACGTCCCCATGAAGTGGGTCCTATCACAATGCCCACATTATAGTGAGGCCGCTGAGGCTTCAAAACATGAATTGGGGTTGGGGAGACACAATTCAGTCCATAGCACTGCTGGACGTGAAGGCTGTTTACAGATTTTCTGTATCATAAACCCCTCTGTGATGCCTTCATTGTGCCCGTGTCTGTGGTTACTGGCAGGGACTTTGTGGATTTACCTTTGTCTCTCTTTATTCTCTTGCAGAGCATTTGGTTCTTTTCCTGAAATTTGCCACAGCTTGTCATTGTGTGTGTGTGTGTGTGTGTGTGTGTGTGTGTATGTGTGTGTGTGTGTTTAAATGTCTGTGCCCCAACTAGGCGTGAGAGCAGGGCCTTTGCCAGTTTCAGCTGCACCCTCAGTGCCTAGAGCAGCTCCTGACTTGTAGTAGGTGCTCACTAAACCCTTGTGGCTGAAGACCGTGGTGTTCTCCAGCACCCAGCACCCAGCCCAGCACTTGACCCACGGTGGGACCCCTAAGGGCAGTTTCCTGTGAGGATCCCTGAGAACCTGGCCTGGCCCTGGCCTGGCCGTTACCCTCACAGAAGAAATTACCCTTTCAGAGCCTGAAGGGGGCTTTGGGGTTTGGGAAGCAAATCCTTTTGCACATGAGGGCATCTGGCTCAGAATCCAGGTCAGAAACCCCAGAGGAAGGGACCCTCTCTTTCTGCTGAAAGGCAGAAACACCAGCCCAGCTGCTCGCCAGGAGGAAGCCAGGTTGTGCTGAGGGTTGCCTGATGCTCTCTGGGCGTTTGGGGCCAGGTCACTGGGCACCTGAACTGATGCCCCAGTGACCAGCCTGGCTATCCTCCTCCAGGTGATTGTGATGACATCATTCTGGGCAAAGGAACTGGCATCAGGGATCGTTCCCAGAGGCTGCAGGACTGAGTATGCTGCAAAGTTGTGCTTGGAGGAGATGGCCGGGCCATTCCTTGAGTATTCTTCATTCATAGATAACGCTCAGATTCATTTATTTAGCTCTTCACCCAACAAATATTCATCCAATGCCTCTCAAGTCCCTGGCGCTCTCTTAGAGGCTTATTAGGCTTTGTCTAAAACAGATTTACAAGGACTAAGATGATAACAGAGACTCCCATCTATTAGACATCCACCACGTGCCACACTTGCCACCAGGTCCTTGGGCTCTATTCTTTCTTTCTTTCTTTTTAATATTTATTTACTTATTTATGTGGTTGCACCAGGTCTTTTTAAAAAAAAAAACAGTTTTTATTGCATACATTTGTATACTATTTTTAAAAAATAAATAAATTTATTTATTTATTTATGGCTGCATTGGGCCTTCATTGCTGCATGCGGGCTTTCTCTAGTTGCGGTGAGAGGGGGCTACTCTTCATTGCAGTGCGCAGGCTTCTCATTGTGGCGGCTTCTCTTGTTGTGGAGCACGGGCTCTAGGCACGCAGGCTTCAGTAGTTGTGACACGCGGGCTCAGTAGTTGTGGCGCACAGGTTTAGTTGTGGCGCACGGGTTTAGTTGCTTCGCGGCATGTGGTATCTTCCTGGACCAGGGATTGAACCTGTGTCCCCTGCATTGGCAGGAAGATTCTTTTTTTTTTTTTAAATTTTCTTCATTGATTTTTTTTTTAACATCTTTATTGGGGTAAAATTGCTTTACAATGGTGTGTTAGTTTCTGCTTTCTAACAAAATGAATCAGTTATACATATACATATGTTCCCATATCTCTTCCCTCTTGCGTCTCCCTCCTTCCCACCCTCCCTATCCCACCCCTCCAGGCGGTCACAAAGCACTAAGCTGATATCCCTGTGCCATGCGACTGCTTCCCACTAGCTATCTACCTTACGTTTGTTAGTGTATATATGTCCATGCCTCTCTCTCGCCCTGTCACAGCTCACCCTTCCCCCTGGCAGGAAGATTCTTAACCACTGTGCCACCAGGGAAGTGCCTGCACCAGGTCTTAGTTGTGGCATGTGGGCTCCTTAGTTGTGGCACGTGAACTTTTAGTTGTGGCGTGCATGTGGGATCTAGTTCCCTGATCAGGGATCAAACCCAGGCCCCCTGCATTGGGAGCATGGAGTCTTAACCACTGCACCACCAGGAAGTCCCTGGGCTGTATTACTTCTAATTCTCACCATAGACCAGTGGGCAGGACTTATAGTCTCATTTCTGCAGAGGCATGAAGCACCGTGCTCAAGGCCACATGGCTTCTAAGTGGGTTTCAAATCCAGCTTTGTCTAACTTGCTCTGCTTTCTGGTGTGGTCCTTACCTGTGCCAGACGGCTGACATGCATCATCTCTAATCCTCACAGCAAAATTTGTCTGAATTATACTCTCCCCATTTTCCATATGAGGAAACTGAGTCTTGCAGGGGTTAGGTAACCTGCCCACGGTTGCACAGACAGGAAGTGGTGACATTTGGATTGAACTTTACCCCTTGTCCCACTCCATGCAATGTGCAGCTGCCTCCTTGTCAGGTCCCTTTGGCCAATGAGCTCTGAAGTCCCTCTGAGCACAAAGAACCCCAGCCTCTCCATAACTTCAAGTAGAAAATTGGGAGTGTATCTAGATCATCCAGACTGGCCAAAATTGGCAAGTCTCCCCTTCTTACCAAGGTGTTCATCTAAGAGCCCTGTGTCTGCACTTTCTTCTCTTTCTGTTCCCACAGCCCTGCCCCACCCCCAGCACCTCTCCCTGCTCTCCTTCATATAACCCATCCAGGCTGTGGAAGGATTTGGGCATACAAGAGCAACATCTGACTCTAAGATGTGCCAGACCCTGCCCTGCACTCTTTTTATTGCACCCACTCATGTGAACCCCACAACAACGTGATAAAGGGAAGAACTGTTAGTCATTGACAGTGAGCATTACTTCAGGGGCAGAGACGGGAGGTGGAATACAGTTCTGTCTGCATTGAAAGCCTGTGACCTTCCACTATGCCATCTTTGAGAAGGGGAAGGGGACCTAGCAAGAGGAAGGTCAATGCCCCTACCCTACCTTTGACCCCAGGTGCCCACTTTCCTTTTCTAGCATCCAGGATTTCTCCTGGGGAAAATGACCATGAGAATGTCAGCACCACAAAAGCAGGAACTTTCCTTTGTTCATTGCTATACCCTTAGTGCTTAGAATAGGGTCTGGCTCAGAGTAGGTGTACAAGAAATATTATATTTTATTAAATAGAAAACACCATTTATTTTAAGATACATCCTTGCTCCATCACAATTTGTTGAAAAGACTATCCTTCCTCCATTGAATTGCTTTTGCAATTTTGTCAGAGAATCAGTTGGCCATACTTGTGTGGGTTGTTTCTGTGTCCTCTATTTCATTTACTTGATCTATGTGTCTATCCACCAACCAAACACAGTTTTGACTACTAAAGCTGTATCTTGAAATTGGGTTGACTAATTGCTCTCACTTTATTCTTCTTTTTCAAAAATGTTTTAGCTATTATAGTTCTTTCATAATTTCATAGAGTTTTAGAGTAATATTACCTATATCTACAAAAAAACCTTTCTGGGATTCTGATAGTAATTGCATTAAATTTCTACATCAGTTTGGGGAGGACTGACATTTTACTCTGTTGGGTTTTCCAATCCTATACATGGTATGGCTCTCCATTTATTTAGATCTTCTTTCATCAGCCTTTTGTAGCTTTTAGCATACAAGTCTTGTACATTTACACCTAAGTATTTCATTTTCGGGGAACGATTGTAAATGGTATTGTAGTCTTAATTTTGTCCACCTGTTCATTGCTAGT